TAGTGTATGTGGGAGTGGGGTGGGTTAGTGTGTGTGTGGGAGTGGGGTGGGGTAGTATGTGTGTGGAGTGGGGTGGGGTGTGTGTGGGAGTGGGGTGGGGTAGTGTGTGGGGGGGGTAATGTGGGGGGAGTGAGGGGAGGTAATGTGTGGGGGAGTGCTTGCTCATGCAGGTGTCTGTGGAAACCAAAGGCTCATGTCAAGAAATCCTTGTCAGTTGCTTTCTGTACTAAGTTGTCACCCATAGTTGGCAGGTAAAAGGGAAGGGCCATGCATTACAAATGTAAGCTCTGGTCTTAGGGTGAGAGCCCCTCTAACCAGTGATGCTTATGGTGTTGTTTCTCCTAAGTTGATCTTTGTTAGAAACATGGTAGTGAGATTTTATTCTGTATTAAAAGGCTCATGTTATCTCCTATGGGATATTCACAGGCAGGAGTCCAATTTTCACTCACCTTGTTACGAGCTTAAAAGGACTATGGACACTCCGTGCCTTTGGACGCCAGCCTTACTTTGAAACTCTGTTCCACAAAGCTTTAAATTTACACACTGCCAACTGGTTTATGTATCTGTCAACCTTACGCTGGTTCCAAATGAGAATAGACATGATTTTTGTCCTCTTCTTCTGTGTCGTTACCTTCGTTTCCATTTTAACAACAGGTACTGTGAACTCATTGATGAATGTTAACAAAAGATTGCTGAACCTTTAAGTAATAATTTCTGTCAATAAAATGACATATTTTTATATTAAAACTGTAGATGCTTTAAAATAGACTTTTGGGACTTATCAACCAATACAAGTAATTTCTTTGCATTTCTGTTGTTTTGTTTCCAAATAATTTATTTGGTTTAAATGTTTATATGATATTTTAACCTAGTTGTGCTGTTTTAAAAATGATGAGATACTGATTCAGATAGCATAAATGTGATTGACAGGAAAAGTCTTTTCACAGGAGAAGTCTTTTCATAGTAATGTTGGCAGGACTTCCGAATTAATAGATTTCTTTATGAAAAAATTATCTGAATGGAGGAAGAGGAATGCACAGGTGTGCCCATGCGCACGCACGCACGCACACACACACACACACACACACTTCTCCTTTCACCCTTTCTGTCAATTTTCTTCTTTTAACAACTACTTTTTTGTAAAATTCTTTGTCTTATATGAATTTTGAATGAATAAAAATTACCACAGAAGTAAAATAATGTAGATAAGACTGCATTATTTTTCAAATACAAAGCTTCTGAAATTTAAGATTTTCGAGTAATAAGAGATATAAAGTATGTGACATAATGCATGTCACACTAAGGAAACAAAAATCTTTATAGATAAATGAGTACCTCTATTTTAAGATGTTGGATTTCTGAGTCAAAATGCTATATGTTCTAAATATAGCATTTTATTATGCATAAAACATTGCATATTAATATATGTATGACAGTTCAGAGTGAATGCACACCAATGCCAGATTTACATCATTATTTTATTATAAGAACAGTATTGCTCAACCCCAAAAGAAGCACTTTTTGACATGTTCTCATGTGGCTTCAGCGTGGGTGTCACACTTGGATAACTGGAGGGACAAGAACAGGCACTGGAGAGTCAGGCATAGGTATGATTCTGGTTTTGAATGGATGCTGGCTTGTCTTCACTTTCTCCTGTAAACACTTGTTCTTTCTTGTCTTTCTCTCTCCCCCTCCCCTTCCTTCCTTCCTCCCTCCCTCCCTCCCTCCCTCCCTCCCTCCCTTCCTTCCTTCCTTCCTTCCTTTCTTTGACTCCCTCTTCCTCAACCCCTCAGAATTAGTTGTTTTCAACTGATTTATAAGGATCACACCCCATGGGGGCTGGAGAGATGGCTCAGAGGTTAGGAGCGAGCACTGGCTGCTCTTCCAGAGGTCCTGAGTTCAATTCCCAGCAACCACATGGTGGCTCACAACCATCTGTACTGAGATCTGGCGCCCTTCTCTGGAAATGGGCAGGCATGTCTGTGACTCTTCAGCAGTGCAGAAGAGTACCTTAAAATGATTTTGGGGTGGGAGGGCAGAGTATTGATTTTTTTATATAAGCTAATTAAAAGGGAATCAAATATGACTAAATCACATGAATTCAAACTTCTTAACAATTAATTCAAGCCAATATATCACATGCCTTATCAGAATAGGTAAGATTATGACTGAGTCTTGGCTTACCAAGGTCAATAATCAAAACATTTAACTATCAGCCTTGTTCAGCACCTCCGCTTATATGAGAAGCACAGCCCAGGAACTTGGTTTTAACCTACGTTAACTTATTTTAACTGAGAGACACCAATCAGCTTCTTTAATTCTCTTGTGTGCCACAGACATATAGTAATACCTCTCCCATAGTACTAAGTGTGATCATTTTTGCAAAGCAGCACAGTCTTGTCTATAGTAAATTGCCAGTAACTATTGCGTTGCTTGTTGTTGTAATCATTTATCTTATTTTTCTTTTTAGCCTTCAAAACAAGAAACATATAGGGGCCCTGGGTGAACTTTTAACAATTTTCAATACATTATTTGATGCAAGGAAAGTAGTTATGGTAGACCTAAGTTGGAGAAAATGTATACATGAACATTTTCAGAAATAATAGTATGGCTTATTCATCTCTGTGTTTAACCTTGTGATAGCTATTTGGTGGTTGATTCAAGCACTATCAATTGGTACATGATAACCTGAATTAATAATAATTTATAAACATCTGTCTTGGAAATTTTTATGGTCATAATTCTGAATTTTTCAAAATTTTAATTAGTTGTCATTCCTAATCCTGAAAGAAATTTACTCTAAAATGTTAGCACTCTCCTTTTCAAGCATGTTAGTCTTTTTTCTTTTTTTAATGTAATAGGCAAACTTCTTTCTTGATGAATGGCTGGCATTATTTTTCTGACTGCCCAGTGACACACAGTCTGCTTTCTTCTGGGCACCTCTGATGAGTAGAAACAGACCACTGCAAAGGTGCTGAGCCTGTCTACCCCTGCCTGTGCTATTCAGATGTATGCATCCCTCCTTTGGCTTTTTGTAGAGGAGCTCATTTGAACCCAGGCCCCCCCCCTTTGTTTCTGGTGTTCAATCTAGTATTTTTTTTCATTGTTACATACATAATAATAGTAGAAGAGACAAATGTATTGTCTACCCAATTCCAGCATTACCTTCAGGAGCTAACCAGCATTTAAAAGTGCAACAATTTGTGAATACTCAGTCACTACTGATTTTAAAAATTAGTTGAAAGCTTATTCGATGAGGGCGTTATTGTTCCTAGGAGTCACTAGCAACAGTATTAAATTGAAATTTGAATAAAATGACATGTGATGAGAGAGATACGAGTAAAGCAATTCACAGAAGAGATCACATGCACTTGTTCAACCCCCTTTCCATGTCTAGGTGAAGGAGAAGGATCGACTGGTATTATTCTAACTTTAGCTATGAATATCATGAGTACTTTGCAATGGGCTGTAAACACCAGCATTGATGTGGATAGCTTGGTAAGTTACTATCTTTAATTATTTTTAAAAGTTAAAGGAAAAAACAAAGAGTAGGCAATAACTGAAGGGTTCTCTGTGTGTGTGTGTTTGTGTGTGTATGTGTGTGTGTGTGAGTGCACACACACACACACACACACACACACACACGCATTACCAAGTTTAGGAAATAAAATGTCCAGGTAAATTAAAAGACATTCTGTATCATGCATTAAATGGTGACCTGATTTATCTTTTATCCTCATGTATTGTCACTGTGAACATTGTTGCACATCTCTTCTTGCTCAGGAGCTTTCCAAAGCAAATCCTAGGAGTGGAAGGAACTGCTGGGTATTTCCCTAACACTACTAGCTGATGCCACGTTACTCTCTGGGCTGTTGTGCTACAGTATATACTTCATCTAAGAGAGTATGTGAATGTTTCCAGCAGAATTCATCTTCAGACACTTTTAATATTGCCAGTTTGAGGAGTATAAAGTAACTACTAAAATGTCAGGATATCTTAATGCCTATTTCTTGTTGATCATTTTTTGTTTTTTTTTTTTTCTTTCTGTTATGTGCTTGTTCAAGTTTGCTTACTTTTTAAATTGTGTTTCTCAGTTAATCTGTAGGTATTTTTGAATCCTGGGTCAGTTGTCAGTTCTATACATCAAAATGTCCCATGAACTAGTGGCTTTATTCATGGTATCTCTCTAAGAAAAGAAACATTGAATTTGATAAAGATTAATTTATTATAAGTCTTTCCTTTATGGCTTATGCATTTGGTTCTTGCTTAAGAAATTCTTCTCGATGTTAGGTTTTTACATTCAGCAACTTGACACTTTTCATAATATTCTTATTTTTTAAACATCTGATCTCAGTTGTTGTTCCTTCCTAAGCGTTTATCATTGTTCCTCTCCTTTTCACTTGACTGATGTTGTCTTGCATTTGTGTTCTTTGCGTGTCTGAAGACATGTATTGGCTTTATTGTGCCTTCTACCATAGAGAACCTGAAGTGATATTTATCTAGCTAAAGTGGTGTCAAGGAGGTGAGAAATGCAAGGAAGCTACACATTTCCCTATTTATATTCTAGTAAAAGATATATTTCTGTTAGACTTTAGAGTTGGCCTAAGAACTTAATCACAAATTTCTTTTTAAAAATTTTATTAGATTTATTTATGTGGGTGAGAGATGTCCATACCACCACATGAGTGTGGAGATCAAGGACAATTGACAGGTCCTCTTTTCACAATGGGTCCTAGGGATCTACTCAAGTCATTAGGCTTAGCAGCAAGTGCCTTTCCATGCTGCGCCATGTTTGCTGACCCTTCATTGGATTTTAGGCTTTAGAACTACACTCATTGATTTGCTGCTTCATTCTTGAAGGATCTAGAGTTCCCAGTTAAAAGTCATTATATAACTCCTTTTGCTTATGTTTTCAGAGCTACATTCATGTGATTGTAAAATTTCTATAATCAATTTTTCTCAAAAGAAAAATCATAACTATATCTCAAGAGCAAAACAAAGTCTTTAAATTCTCTTCTTATCCATGTGTATTCATAGTTAGCTGAGGTATCTTAATTCCTTGAAATATAGTATCCTTAGTTTTTAAGCTAGACATGTTCCTTGTGTCTTCTCCACACTTGTCCTTGATTGCATTTTTGTTTTGAGAGCTCTTATAAAGACATCTGTATCTTTTGGAAGTAGTTGAAGAATATTAAATAAATATTGTATTTCTGTTTACTTCCTTATATTCTTACAACGATGACTTTATAATTCAAAACCCTTGTGCATATTACCTATTTCTTTACTTTAAAACAATCTCTTTACCTTATGTGCTTACAATTCTCTGTGACATTAATTTTTTGATGTAATGACTTACCCAAACTTTTGATCTTGTGATACAATGTTGTCACCTACAGTGTTTACACTCAAGATATGTACAATTGAGCTACCAAACCAAATCACAGATATACAACTTACGATTTTTAGTAAGTTTATGATTTTGTGTTGGGCTTCTTTTATAGCTCTGTTGTCCACATGCAACTAGATGTGTGGCCTGTGAACTGCAGTGTAGACACCCCTCTTAGAATAGCTTCAACATAGGATGTCAAAACCTTTACTCAGTAAATTTCTATCCCACATGTTTAATTTCCATTAGAGACACTTTAAAGTATTTTACTTCTCCAGTGGGTATGTTGAACTTTGTACCTTATTCATTGACATTGTATCTTTCATAGTGTATGAAAGGACTTTTACAAGGACCTATTGTGTCTATGATATCGTATCTATATCTATATATATTATATATAGATATACTTTTCATAAACCATTTATGATCGCATGTCTGCAATACTGATATCCAGAACAATCAATCAACCCATCTATTATATTTTCATAATAAATTCCTTATTTATTCCCAAAGATAGCTCTTTCCTTTATTCCTGTATCATTTTTGACATCTTAATAATTCCATACCTTAAACTCTCGGCCAATGACCTTGCTACATATCTCAGAGAAATAAATGATCAGAAATAATTCCCTCACTGCTCTCTACTTTCTCTTTCTTAATGCTGATATCACAATGGTAGATTATCTTTCAGTGGACATAACATATGACAGTATGAGTTCTTATACAGGCTCATTGCCCCTCTACTTGTATGCACATACCCCCACTCTGTTCTTGCTACTATATACAGCCCAATACTGTATAGTTCCCTGCCCTTTGTGAGCCTTGTCTAATCAGCAGATAGCCTCATTTGCTCCCCAGTTCCCACCCTGCTTCTTTGACCTGTTAACAACAAAACTTCTCAAAAGATTGCCTTTCTCTGTTATATCTTTATTCTTTCCACAGTTTATTTCGTTTTTATCACCTACTAGAGTAACAATAAACACCATATCATACACAAAACCACTTATTTGTCACTTGCAATTGTTGAGCGGTGTTTTCCCTGGATGAGTACTTATACTCCTTCATCTTCCTATCATCTCCTGTACCGTCATCTCCTATATATTTTTACACATCACCTGTATTATAGCTGTTTTCTATCTGCATTCTCTCTAGCTATTGTTATCTAACCCCATGCTTCAAAAGCTGTCTCTTGATGAATCATAGATTCATATGTTTAGTGCACAGCTCTCTCTTGCCCTCTAAACATTTCCGACCATCTTGACATCTTCATGCATCCATAAAACACATGGCTAGATTATTTTCTAGTAGATTTGACATGCTAGGATATGAGATCCTGTACATCTCCCCCAAATACAAACAGGATCTTAAGGGATCACTAAAATGAAAGAAAAGTTCTACTCCCTTTGTCTGGAAGCTAAATAAATAAGAGCTGGCAAGGGTATAAAAGGTAATGCTTTAAACTTAGCATTATTACACCATCTGGTGACTAAGGGGTTGCTCACACATAATTTCTTCATTTGATAACTCATATCCTTCCAGAACTGTCTACCACAGAGGGAACAAAAAGTGGACAAACTTAATATGTGAATGTGACTGCCTTAGTTTTCTAAGAAGACCAACAGATAAGCATCCTGTTTCCACTAAGTGATTATCCTGTTGAACTGAACTGTATGTGCCTCATATAAGGAAAGACGCCACCAGGTTAAGGACAATGAATTTAAAAGGCTTCCATTTAGATCCCCGTTAATGAAGTTCCAGAAAGTTCTTGCATTGTTGGTGCAATCTGAGAAGAGTTTTCTGTCAATACAAACTCCCTGTTTCTCCTTTGTCCTTTCATCACCTGTGTTTATTTTGGGTTCCACTGGAGATCAGGTGACTAATGGAGAATGAGCAATGTGAAATGTGGTGGAAGGAGAAAAAGGAAATTTTTCTCTTCTTCATGGTGCTGTTACAGAATGCTCTTGTATTGAAAGCAGTTTCTGTTAGAAGGATCTGACAGGGGAATTACTTTATCCTTTGTCTTTTGCCTCCTTTTAATGGTAGCTTGATTGTGGTTTGTTGTTGTTCTTACAAGTCTTTGTGGTGTATCTTTCAAGGCATATACCCGTCCACCCACAGAGAGCCTAGTATTTCATTCTGGCCCAGACACTTAAAAGTTGAGTGCCTTTAGGCGAGTCATTGTTCTCCATTTCCATAGCCTTATTTTCTTCTTCTGTGAAGTGAAATGGTTTGGTTAGGAATTTTTTCAGGTTTCTGGCAGCTCTGACGTGCTCTCTCTTCTGAACCCATTCACATAAAAATGTCAACTCTTAGGGATATTTAGGCATTTTTCTAGATCTTACAAAACCACATGCCAACCCCATCCTAAATGCTGAAATCCATTAACTGTTACTCTGCAGTTATTGCGGTTGGTCTAAAACTTTTGTGTTAATGTGTTATTACTGCAGCCAACAAAGACAAAGTGAGCAATATTATGATATTCTCAAGCCTTGAATTAGTATAAGAATCTTATGAGCTCCCTCAGGAATTGCTGGACTGTGCAAAAATGTGTGATAAGCTTGGAAAATGGTTAGGGCTTTGTACCTGCCACTTTAACTTCCTGGTTTAAATTTTCTCTTCTGTACAATGAAAGAATGGACTAGATCCTGGGCTCTCAGCCTGGCTGAACATGAAAAACCTCTATAATAAAGCTTCTTGAGGTTCACAAAGCCCCATGAACTTAGTTCTTCTGCTGGGGTCAAGGTGACAGGACTGTAGTCTGTGTTTTGAAATGTGTCCAGGTGATTCTAATGTGTGTCTAGGCATTTGAATCACTGGATTAAGTGATTTTGAGGATTCATTTGTGCTTTGATTTTCTGAGTCGTGTCACAAGGATCAGCAAACATTATCTGTTAGGAGTGAAATAGGAAATAGTTTGCCTTGTGAACTTAGGGATTGTGACAGCAACTCAACTAACCTTTATAGGATAAAGCAGCCATAGACGTGTGTGTGTGTGTGTGTGTGTATGTATTTATGCTTTGTTTCATTTCTCTTTGATAATTTTTGTCTATTTTTATTTTACTTTGATTTTTGAGGGTATTTGGTTTGAAAAAGAGAGAAAGGAGAGAAAATA